CAGAGTTCAAAAATGCTATAATGACAGATCTTTGTACATTATACAAAATTGAGTTTCATTACACAACTCTAAGAAACCCGAACTCGAATAGTCCAATCGAACGTTTCCATTCGACACTACGTGAAAGTATAACGAGTTTAAAACTCCAAAACCCGAATAAGAGTATTATTGATCTAATGACAATCGCTATATTGAATTATAACAACAGTACTCATAGTACAATGAATCACACCCCTTTTCAAGTGATTAAAGGAGATTTGAATTATGCCATACCGATTGAACAAACGGAAAATAAACTAACAACTGACTATATAACAAGTTTGGCAGAATCCCTTGCGAATTTGAATAAAGAAATTCAAGAAAAATTATTAGCGAAACAAACAAAGTCTTTAGAATCACGTAATAAAAATCGTGAACCTGAACCAGAATTACAAGATCCAATCTTTGTAAAACAATTTAATAGAGACAAGATAAGTCCGCGTTATGATAGCAAAACACAGAATCGCTTTGCTAAACAAAATGTTAAACGACAATAATTTATTTCAGGTACTCCGAGATGAATCCATTAGTATTCCTAACTCTCGTTGGAGTCGCCCAAGCGTATACATTGATGACGGTAGAAAATCCTATTTTACCAATTTCTTTAGGAACTACTTACGTAACAACTCAACATAACACGGCCTATTATCACATAAACACAACAATTATCATTCAAAGTATCCATAAACTGGAAATCACCTTAATGAAATTATCTGACACTCTTAACAAAACAACATGGTCAAACCAATTTGTTGCACTGTTTCAAACAAATATTGAAAACAGTCATTCTCAAATTAAGATTATGAAACAAGTAATCAGAACCTATCAGGACCGAAAACGTAATAAAAGAGGTCTATTAAATTTCATGGGCACAGCACAAAAATGGCTCTACGGAACCTTAGATGCTGAAGACGGCGCAAGATATGATTCTTATATCCAGACGCTTAATGATAATCAAAAAACTCTCAATGAAGATCTAAAAACACAAGCTCAAGTATTGAAACAAGTTACAAAAACATTTCACGATCAATTTTTAACTATTGAATCTAACCAAAACGTTATCACAGGAAAATTACAAAATATTTCCTTGGAAAACCAAAATTTCCACTCAATGTTAACTTTCAATCTAATATTGAACAATATCAATATTCAAAGTAATAAAATAAGGAATCTTATTGATCATGTGCAACTAGCAATAAATTTTGCACAATTGGGAATAATGCATTATACTATTTTACAGCATAATGAATTAAATCAAATATTAACAAATATACCCAAAAGTCAGCAAATACCTTTTGATAATAAAATCAAGTATTACGAGACAATGAAAACTCAAGTAAAAATCCAAAATGAGTTAATTATATTTGTTATACACACACCAATGATTGATCCCAAGCCCTTTATATTGTATAAAATCTATCCAATTCCTATCCAAGAACTTACCATTAGTAATAAGTACCCTTACCTATTACTTACTACGGACATTTACTACAATACGTTATGGGAATGCCCGAAAGTCGAAAGTGTGTACCTTTGTAACCAAGAAGAGCTGAAGCAAGAAGAATCATGTGTCTACGACCTGATTACTGACCTACCACAACAATCTCCTTTCACTAAAGTGAAATATGAAATACCAACAGTGAGACAACTCCCGAATGGACAACTATTAGTCATTCCTAAGAAAAGCCTGACCATAGTTATTCAATGTGACAAGACAAACTATATAGAAATAATAACTAATCCAACGCTAGTTTCTTTTGAGAAATGTTTTGTGAAAATCCAAAATCAAACATTTTCAAAAAACAGCGAGAACTTCAATTTTGAACTGAAGATTCCAAGAATAGACATCCCTGAACTTCCGGAGAACGCAACAACATTGGAACTTCAAGAAATTAACCAAGAAGACTTAGAAGAAGCCTTCAAGACGACGAAACAAATAAGAGTTCATAATCTAAAAGAATTGTATTTTGAACACTCTTATTTAAACACATATGTTATCATAGGTTTAAGTCTTGCTATTTTATTTTTAATTTTACTGTTTTACTGTTTTAGGAAATATAAAACTTCAGAAAAAGGTTGTGCAAATGTGCAAATTGAATTGTCTGATTTGAATTCACAACAATCCACGTTTGCAACATCTTAAGGAGGGAGGAGTTATATTAACCAATTGCCATGCTGATTTATAATCAATTATCTATTTTTTATATGCTTTAATGTGCTTATCCCTTTCCTCTAGGATTTTTTAAATACATTGTTGTAAAGTAAACATCAAATTGCTATGTCGGCATTAAATGTTTATTTAAGCCGATGCCGTCCCATAAGGAATGTTCATTTGTTTTCTGGCTTTAGCCTGTAGCAATTTGATCCGAATATTTTCTTTTGTCACCTCTGTATTTTAATCAATAAAATAAATGTTTTTTAAAATACAAGTTTCTGAATCGAAAATATAATTTACGTTTAATTTTTGTTTATACCACAAGTATATTTATGGTTTACTATTGCCTGCTATAATAAGTTAAAATGTCCGCCTGATATAGGTCGATATGTACCATAATTATGTACCAAATATAAACGTATACAAAATATGTTTATGAGGTTATCGTATAAAACGTATATATTTATCATAGAATTTACGTTAATTTAATTGTTATGATGTATTTATAATAAATGTATAGAAATTATGTTTAATAATTTAATATTTAAAACGTGTATATTTGATTTAAAACTTACGTTAATTCAATTGATATAATACACCAATGATAATTGTATATGTGATACGTTTAATAATCATATTATTATACGTTATAATTTGATATAATTTAAACATTGAAATATTAACTATATCATACGTTGAAGCAACGAATTTGATAAAGTTTATATTGTTCTTTATCAGTAACGTATAATTAACTAAAATAAATGGAAGAGTTCATTTATGGAACAAATAATATATTTCGAAAAGTTATTGCATAGTTATTACAAAAAAATTAAAAAAATAAATCTTGGCATGCTTGTCCAATATTTTTATCTGTTATGTCTCCTGCCCTGATGCCCACTTGGTCCTCTCCTTGGAAGTAAATTTTTGTAGCTTCTGAAAATAATTACATATTATAAGTGAGTTATTTTCCATGAGGGTCACTCATGGCAGTGCAACTGTACGGTATTAATACGTAGATTTTACGTTTGAAGTATACCATTCTCAAAAAAACAACAATAAATTTATACCTAAGTATTGAAAAAAAAAAAAACATATTACCTATGTACCTGTCTACCTACATGATTTATCCCGCGACTCATTTATAATTAATTAACGGAAAAAAAAAATCGACAAGTATTGACCATTCCAGTACAGATGAGATGACTTTACTATGACAATTTGCTCTGGGGGGCACACATAATCAAATAATATAACCAAAAATTACAATTTTGGCATTTTCCGATAAGTTTTTAACCTAGGAAACTTCAAAATTTACAAAAAAAATATCGGTTCTCCCTCAGCCTGAGGAATACTGGAATGGTCAATTGTTTGTACCTGTGTGGAAAACGAAACGACGAAATATCAGCTTGTAAATCAAGTATCGAAATGGCTGAATTTTGTAAAAAAAATAGCACACATGCCAGGTTTTCCAAATAAATACCCATTCCTAATTCTAAACAACCAATAATTTTCCACTTACTGGATTCATTAGTCTGCTATTAATAGGGGCAGCTAAAAATTCACGATTCACAAGTCACAGCATGCAAGCAAGCACTACGCACTCACGGGCACATTGTAGACCGGCTATCAACAACGACTAACGAAAATCGATGAAGATGAAGGCGATCGGCACGACGCGTGCGTAGTTCAGCCACAGACAGCACCTGATTGGTTGGCCGGTCTGTGCTTTCAGCACTCCATGTTGGTTACACAAGCGCGGGAAATATACAAGTTTTGAATTTTAATCAATTATTGCTCCCTTTTCTTTCAAATGAAAACTGAATAGGACATAAAATCACTAGAAAAAAAGGCACGTCGAGTTATTATTCAGTGTAGGTAACATATTTTCCAAAACAAATGAAAATTCCGATGGGGTATTAAAAATACTCATAGGATATAGGATAGGTTGGCATGGCAATGGCGATGGCAACTGACAAATAAGAGAAAAGTATTTCGGTCTGAGGTGAAGGGGGAGGAAAAAACGATATGGAAATACACAGTTACGGTGGAATAGAGCGTGATAGAAATATTAGTTCGCATGTTTGCCGCCTTCCTTTGAATTATCATTTGTCGCTGGTCGCTCCTATACTTTGATTATACAAATATGATAAACTATAAACTATCTCATGCCCGGATTTTCAATAAACTTCTGACACGAATATAATACATGGTATACTGCTTCAGTTAGTTAATCATAACGGGATTATTTACCCCTTATCGTGAGTAAAATGTAAAAGAATGTTGTGTATGGCCATATAATATAGCAGGTATAATAAACAAGTATATATTTATACTATTATATACCCATAATGTACCCTACTTTTCCGTCTACCATAGATATCTATTTTCAAGTAAAATTTTATTGGATGTAATACGTGTATTAAATACATTTAAAATATCATGATGTTGAAAAATGAGCCTTTCGTCAAATTTAACAAAATAGTGACATTGTTTATTAACAATTAACTGCTAATTTTCGTGACAGCATATCTAGTTTTCCCAAATCTACACTTGCTGGTAATAAAGTAGTATATGATATATGTTTATTTAAGGTCTACAAATTATACGTTGACGATAAATCATTTGTAAACGTTTAATAAATAAACCAAAACTAAAATATTACCTAAAAATGGTTGATTATACTTATATTATACAATTAATCAAATTTATGTGTTGCTTGAGTAATTTACAATTTGAACTTTTATAACAATACCATACATAACATTATTATTTTAATTATAACTTATAACCTAAAATTCCTACTTTTCTAATTCTCTTGTAGTCCTATTTTTTCTCTCAATTCCTTGAACTGAGGAGATGCCAATGGTTTTGTCAATAAATCAGCTTCTTGGTGACCTGTGGACAAATATTCTAAACGGACAATCTTATTTTCAACTTGCTCTCTTGTGAAATGGTATTTAATGTCAATATGTTTTGAACGTCTATGATTTGTTGGATTTTTTGCCATTGCTATACAACTTTGATTGTCTTCATATAAAATGATTGAATCAAACATATTGACATTCAGACTAACTAACAAAGATTTAAGCCATAAAGTTTCCTTCACAGCTTCAAACACAGCCATGTATTCTGCCTCAGTTGATGAAGTTGCAACTGAGTTTTGTCGCCTTGTTATCCAAATCACAATATTATTGAATAATTTGAATAAATAGCCTGTTGAACTGCGGCGATCCACATCATCATTTGCCCAATCAGCATCAACATACCCTGTTAGTATTTGTTCGTTATTTTGATAACGTTTATATACCAATTTTAAATTTAACGTTCCTTTTACATATCCTAATACCCGTTTTAAACATAGCCATAGTTCTTTATTACATTTAGTTCGATATCTACTTAGAATATTTACTGCTGTACACAAATCTGGACATAACATTGCGTACATTAAACAGCCAATTAAATTTTGACAAATATTCCTCTGAATTTAATGCTGAATAATTTAATTTTACAGGTATTGGTGTGCTGACTGGGTTGCAATCGCTCATATTAAATTTTTTCAATACTGATTCCAAATATGAGGTTTGATCAAATGAGATTTTAGAACTTGACCTATTTATTCTTATGCCTAGAAAATAATTTATTTCTTTCAAGTCACTCATCTCAAACTGTTTCAATAAAAACCTTTTAATATTATTCATTGTATTAATTTCTTTAGTTGCTATTACTAAATCATCCACATATAAAATTATGTATATATTTTTATCAACGTCGCCTCTATTCAAGAAATATAGACAATTATCCGCTACTGAATTGACAAATCCTTTTTCAATCAATACGGTAATAAAGCACTCGTACCAGCATCGAGCCGATTGCTTCAAACCATATAAGGATTTATTTAATTTACACACTAGATTATTTTTGTGTGTTATAACACCCTCAGGCACCTTCATATAAATGTTTTCCTTCAATGTGCCATTAAGAAATGCTGTCTTAACATCCATTTGATGAATTAACAGCTCATATTGATTGGCAAATGCAATCATGCACCTGAATGTACTAATACGTGCAACTGGTGCGAACGTTTCGTCGTAATCCAAAGTTTTTCTTTGGCTAAAACCGCGCGCTACCAAGCGAGCTTTATATTTAACCCAATTTGCGTTAGTATTGCTTTTTACTGTAAACACCCATTTACAATCGACAATATTTGCATTACATGGCTTTTGTACTAAAGTCCAAGTTTTATTTCGCTCTAAGGCAGGCCGCACATCAAAGAAACATGAAACGTGAAACATCAAACATGAAACGTAAAACATGAAACAATAAATTACGAAAAGCGAAACCGTTTCTTTCGTGCATACTAATTGAAGAAACAAAAATAATTCTTGTTTCTTGTTGCAAATATAATTATTATATTTGCAAAGTCGTTTCAGGATAGTGAAGTGTGAAGTAGAGTGTAGTACACAATGGAAAGTGAGGACGAGGTTGTTGTTGCTGTTGTGGCGTCTCTTTTATCATCATCAAAAAGCAAAAAAAAGGAAACGACATTACTGGGTACATCCATACAATAATATAAATCATAAACATAGCATATATTTGGTTGTAAAGGAATTAAACAATCATCCTGCCAAATTTCAATCGTTTTATAGAAAGAGTAGATATACAAACATTCACAAAATTATTACCTATGAAGAGAAACAGTGAAACTGAAACAAAAAAATAGAACGCGATCTATTTCATGAAACACGTTTCATGTAATAAAAATGTTTCTCGCGCATGAAACAAATTCGTTTCATTGGTGTGCGGACTTGTATTTGTTTGTTCTTATTCTATTTTCTTGAAACGTATTTCACGTTTTATGTTTCATGTTTTACGTTTCATGTTTCTTTGATGTGCGGCCTCCCTAATGATTTCAACTCATCCTTAATTGCTGCTTCCCAGTCAATTCTGGATGCACTTTTAACTACATCTTGATAACATTTAGGAATGTAATTTTCAAATATTTGACCTATCAAATAATTATTAATATCAAAATTATCTTCTCTATAAGAGATTATCGGTTCTTTACTTATGTGACCCAATCGGTCATGCCACATTTTATTTTTGTCAATTATAATATTAACTTCAGCCACGTGACCTACAGCCCGTGCTGTTTTATACGCATTTTGTATTATCAATTCTATAATATACAAGTTATTTATGCGCTTACCTGTAATCATCGTCGTATTCCCATTTTTGATCTCCACAAAGCCAGTTTCTGTGAATATCACTGACATTCCAGCCTCCTGGATACGTCTCACTGAGATGAGATTTGCTGGCACACTCCTGCTGTAGAGGACATCCATCAGCTCTCCGCTGTAGCCAAGGGTTGTGTTGACTTTTATGCTCCCAATATGTGTTGCCTCGACAACCTCTCCCTTTTATGAAACAGTTATGCGAATTGGCTCAGCCAGTGGTTTGAAATCTGTGAAAAGTGCTAAATCATTTATGGTTGCACCAGAATCTAACACAAAACGTCCTGATCCATCATATTCGATATGAGCCGAATTTTCATTGCACATCATAAAAGCAAATGATTCCTCCACCACTTCTGTTGAAGCACTAGGTTGCTGATTGTTCTTTTTGTTATTTTTATCTTGCGTTTTTATACTTTGTTTGTAAAAATAACAGTCACGTTTAAGATGGTTTTTCCTACCACAATGGAAACATTTTTGAATCGGCTTATTTTTAAAAGTCATTTTTTGCCTTTGGGGAAATTTATCTTTCTTTTTCCATTTTTTGTTGGTATTCATAGCACGGAAATGGAGAGCTTTCATGCTTGTGTCGGTATTTTCTCGTACTAGGTATTCTTCATGTTCTAATAGCATTCCTTTTACAAATGCTAATGTGAGTCTATCATCTGTCATAGTTTTAATTGCGGCTTTTATTGGTGCATAACTTGGTGGTAGTGAATTTAGCATATACCATACTTTTGTGGTCTCACTCACTTCCATGCCACAAGCAGATAAATCACGCACCATTTCCTCAATTTCCAACATGTGCTTTTTTAGTGACGTGCCCGGCTTTAATTTGCAATTAAACAATCGATCCTGAACACATAACTGTGTGGATACCTTTTTGCACGCGTACAAGCCATCAAACTTCTCCAAAATTTCTCGAGCTGTTGCACGACCTGCCGGTAATTGTGATAGTACCACGTCATCTAGATATTCAATTATTGTTCCCCTTGCAAATCGCTCCCATTTAATCCATTCCTCCGTCTGGGGTATTGGTGGATCTTCAATTAGCACTTTACTTGCTCCCTCTTGCTCAATAATTTCAGTCAATCTAAATTTCCACATTAAATAGTTTTCACCATTAAAGAGTTTTAAGTTTCTCTTCAACACAGATGACGCGCCACTAGCCATAGTTATTTTTTAAGCTTAAAACGCCCTGAATTTATTTTAACAGACACAATCACAAGCCACGATTATACACGTCCGTGTCTGGGCCCATAACCTATTAGAAGGTACGGTTTAAATGAAACACAGATGACGTTTTGTATTTAATTTAATTTGAACCTACGGCCGTATTTGTACGTTTTACTCAACGACTTTCATATTATCTAACTCAACTTTTTCGTGTTGGAATCTTGTCAACATAAACAGTGTATATTAAGTATGTTCATATAAACAAACGATAATATAAAGAAAATGAATCATTCAGCTTGTATATCAAATTCCATCTACATTTAACTAAACGAATATAATATTTTGTATTTGAAAACCAACAGAGTCTAATATTTCTTGATTAAATTTAATGTATTTTCAAGTTTTTTTTTGTTTCAAGATATCAAAAGGTAGGTACCTACAAAATAAAATCTACATAAAAGTACGTACAAAATAAATAAGAGTATAATCGAATGACACAATTAGACCCTGAGATAGGGCCTGTTTAGTGGAGTCATTTTTTTTTGTCTGGCATTTTGAGGGATGAATGTGGCTAGTTAGCTGATGAGAATATAATTGGTTTTAATGCCTGCCCCCTGTTCGAAATGACCAGAGAATGTTTCACCGGAAAACTCAATTTCGAACTGTGTTTACCGTCTGGCGATTTTTCAGCGTTATTTTCACAACAAAACCTGTTATTCTCTCGATTGCCAGACAGAAAGTAAACGCGGAAGGTTCTTTTCTTTTCTCTTGAAAGTTGACACCCATCCCCATTTTTTCAGCTATTGAAAAGCATCTGGTATTTTTCATGGGTGAATTATTTATCAATGTCAATCTTTTATTTAAAAGCCAGAAAATTTGAGATCTTAACAAAAAAATTCTTCATGTAAATCAATTTTTTTCTTCTGCAAATTTTCGAACGGGTGGCAGGCATTTAAATCACCCATATTCTCATCAGCTTAGTAGCCACATTCAGCCCCGTAAAATGCCAGACAAAAAAAAATGACTCCACTAAACAGCCCCTATCTCACAGTCTAAATCCACTAACCTATTTTTTTAAAAATAACTAGCTCATAAATCAAGTCCATCAAAATAATTATAAAATGGAAAATATTTATTAGGTTTTGTACGAAAAACAGCATAATTTATGATTTAAATGAACAGGGTGAGTCACCATATTTTGACACCCACCTGCAGCCGTAATTACAGATGATAGGTGAACGGTGTAAATACAAAAGTTGTAGTATTTCATCTGAACTGCCAGAATTTTCAAGTAGATTGTACAAATGAGCAACAAAAAGTGGAAAAATATGTCAATGTTCACTTTTTTCAAATGGAATGCCCTTTATTTTCTTTGAAATTCTTAAAGTTCTCGTTTTTCTGATTCAGATTATATAATATGTTAGTGTTTCTTTCGATAGTTTTGGAAATATCTGGAATTTAGTTATTCAAAGAGAGTAGTTTTTTGAATAAATTTCACCTTGATTTACCTGTACCGTGTCGCAAAACATTGTGATACGTGAATAGATCTTTGAATAACTAAACTCCAGATATTTCTGAAATTATTGAAAGAAACATCAACATATTATATAATCTAAATCAGAAAAACGAGAACTTTAAGAATTTGAAAGAAAATAAAGTGCATTCCATTTAAAAAAAGTGAACATTGACATATTTTTCCACTTTGTCTTGCTCATTTGTTCCATCTAATTAAAAATTCTGGCGGTTCAGATAAAAAGCTACAACTTTTGTATCACCTGTAATTACGGCTGCAGGTGGGTGTCAAAATATAGTGAATCACCCTGTACATTATACATTAAATGCAATTTCAGTGAAGAAATTTTAAATGCTATGGATGGAGTTGGTGACCAATTATTTTTGTATGGTATATCATAATGATTTTAAATCGATCACATTTCTTGAATGTACGGTGTACATATGTCTAGTGCATCTTATTCTGTTCCATGGAACTCGTGTGTATACATTTTTCGAAGTGGTTTAATTAGAACAGAATAATCATAACCATAATCAAGGTGTTATTATAAACCGAGTTATAAACTATTTATGTGCTGTGGTATAATACGAGATATCGAGTCTTAAAATTTTTTGGCATTTTCATGAAGTTCTTTTTTTTTATTGGGTCAGTTATTGAAGTCTACTCGATCAACATTTTACTGCAAACAATCGATTTTTTTTTTTTAAGATTTTAAATTCAATTATTGCTCAATTATTCATTTTACATTTTTTGTTTGTACGTAGTAGATATAAATTTTAAATGTGATGAAAGTAGTTGGTGTATTATTACTTTTGCGGTACATCGTATAATGACTTTAAATCGATCTCATTTTTTGAATATATGGTGTGCATATGTCCAGTGCATCTTATTCTGTTTTATGGAACTCGTAAGTATCCAAGGTTTAAAGAGTGCTAAGTCTTCATGTTGTTCTTCGTTATTTTCAATCATTTATGTTTATGTGTTTGGGTTTTTGTCTTGTGATCTTCAAATATCTTGTAAATAAGTTGTAAAGATCTGCTGAAATCACCTATGAATGCAAAATATCAAAATTAAATGATCAAAAAAACAATTCTTTAAAAACATGGTTTTCGACAACAATATTGCTTCTTTGTTTCCCTGAATAAACTTTCAATGAGTCCCACGAACGAACTCTGAAAAGCGCCACATAAAGTTGTCCGTTACTAAATACATCCTTTGTGGAGATCAATTACTATCCTATCAAAATGTTTGTCCTTGAGATTTGTTAATCGTCATTCATTACAAAGGCTAATTTTATTTTGAAATTATCTTCGTTTGAACATGAAGGGGTAAACGTTTTCGCAGTAGAGTGTTATTCGATTTATGAACACTATTTCTCCCTGTTTATATACAGTCAATATCTCACAGCGTAACAGATTATCCCCAAGTTCCAGAACTAAAGGCCTTGTACCATTGCAAAGACCTGCACTGATGCTTAGATTTCTAATAAGCATACAATAGAATTTGTTTTCAATCGTAATTCATGGAGCGGGAATTCGGCGGATTAAGCGAATTTAAATATTTTGGAAGAATAGCATCATTTAGATCACTATTATCACAGTTCTCGACACTATCTAGACTGGTGTAGAGTTTTTCGGTCTTGACGTCCAACAGTTCGACAACTTATTCGTTTATTTCTTCGACATCAACATTTCTTGCAGAAAGTATTGCAGATTTGGTCAAGTCCCTGAATCTTCCTTCTTTTAGTATTATTCGTCGACTTTTCGTATGAGGAGCGAGGGGGTGAAGTATATGGCAAAAACCAGGGGTGACGTTAGGTGACCATTGGCGTTCAAATGTAGGGTGCCACCAGCTCACATTCCTTTCGAGTATTAGATTAAAATCGACGGACTTTACTTCTCCATATATGTTTTCAACAATATCCGAATTATCAATACATTTCTCCGACAACTTTAGATTGTCGGGGATAATACCACGAGAGCTTCAAAATTACCGATAATTTTTCACGATTGCGTGTTTTCTATAATTTCACGAGTCCGTAGGACGAGTGAAATTTGCAGAGAAAACACGCATGAGTGAAAAATAATCTGGTTCATTTTAAAGCTCAAGTGGTATTTAGAGGATTATTTCACGTATGAGAATGCAAAAAATATGGAAATAAATATGTATTAAACGATTTGAACATCTTAAAAATCAATACAAATAAATGGTTGCTATCACGAACCGTTTGTTTGTATCAAAAATTAGCATGACAACCATGTATACAATAACATGGGAGAATTATGGCTGTAATTGTCTCTAGTTAAATAAATGGAAAAGAGAATTTTCGCTGTAATTCTGAAAATCGTCACTTGTCTTTTGGGATTTCTAACACATGAGTGGAATAATCGTTAGAATCATTTAGTATTCGTTATCGCATAAAAATGGCTCAATTTCAGCAATAAGTGCTTAATGTTGGCCTTTAAGGCGGCAACCGTTCGAGGTTTGTCAACATAGACTTTGGATTTTAGAATGCCCAGAGAAAAAAATCCAGTGACGTTAGGTCGGCCAATTGTGGATTCTGAAGGACGATCGTTGACATCATAAATTGCACGGAGTGCACCAAACGTTTTCCGAATAGAACATTGGTTTTGATAATGAT